ACAGGACCAGTCCATTCATGTACTCATGCAGCTCATAGATGGGAAAGATGTTGGGGTGGGTCAACTCAAAACCTATGATCTGGGCCTGGGTGGTAGCTGGTCAGTCTGCCATTTCTTCCATGTCCTTACCACAAGGACATGGAATATTCAGGCTAGTAGTAGAACCAGCTCTCCCAAGCCCACATGGTGCCTGGTGAGGGGCAGAGCCAGTTCAGTGAGGCCTTCAGACTCCAAGAAGGCTCCAGGCTTCAGCATAGAGCATGGACATCCATATAGCCTTTGGTGGTAACAAGACCATGGACACCAACACAGACCTTGGGTGAAGTAGGACCACAGACCCAGACATCGCCTTTGGAGGCAGAACTGGCTTGGATATCACCCTGACCATTAGGTGGCAGTGCAGACCTCTCACATCAGACTGTTCCTCAGTGCTGTTGGGTTTCCAGTTCTACTTCTCTTCAGAGGGCACAAATAGCTCTGCTTCTCTTTCTCTCCCGTCTCTACACCAGATACTTGGTTGCCTCTGGTGCACACCTGCCCAGTGAGGGTTGGGAGCTGCTGGATATCTTGGAGCATTTGGCACACGCCTGCCTGTCAGATCCTGGAGTTATTAATCTTTTCAGTGAAGTTGTTCCTTCCTACAAAGATTTCCCTTTTTTCTTTCTTTTTAAAAAAGTTATTTTCAGACATGGCTTGGTTTGTAGCCTAGGCTGCCCTGGTATGGAATCAAAATACTCTTCTGTTTCAGCTTAAATAAGAGAAAACTAACTAATTTCTTGAGGCTGGATATTTGTGATCAAGCCTCCTTTTGGGTTCTTTCTTGGTGGCTTTAGAGATAACCTTCTCTTCTGTGCTTTTACTTATTTGGTGTGTGTGTGTGTGTGTGTGTGTGTGTGTGTGTGTGTGTGTGTGTGTGTGTATTCAACTTTATAAGGAACCAAGTCCTATTGGATTAGGACCCATACTAATTACTTTATTTTACATTTTTCTTTTACATATTTTACACACTGAAGACCGGATCATTCATTCTCCAGCCATTTTAAGGATTATGCAGCCATGCTGAGGAGAGGCAGTAGGATCAGCCCATTCAGCCTGAGGTAGAGTGAGAGCTCGTGGCCCACTACTTTGCTTTTCTGAACTTCAGCTTGAAGCTTGAATCTCAACATCAGTCTCTGGGTCTTTTATTTTTCATGATACAGATTTAGGGTTCATATATAGTCATAGTCTTAAGTAGACTTTTATAAGAATTTTATGACTGGCACAATTCTACCTATATCATTCCACTCATGACATTTATGAGCTATACAGTTGTGGGAAAATTACCAAGCCCATGAACTTTAGGTTCTTCACCTGTGAAGTAGATTTGTTGGGATATTTGTGGTGCATTTAAAGTGCATCCAAAGCATACCATGTATTAGAATATTAATGTCTAGTTTAGATTTCTATGCCACCACCATTTCCCCTAGGTTATTTATTATTTAATTTGTCTAGAGCCTTTCCTAACTGGATGCAACTGAAATTTCTAGAATTTAAGTACTGTGTTCTAGGAAGGGTTTCTATAGCAGAGACGAAACACCATGGCCAAAAGCAACTTGGGGAGGAAAGGGTTTATTTAGCATATGCTTTCATATCACTGTTCATCACTGCAGGAAGTCAGGACAGGAACTCAAACAGGGCAGAAACCAGGAGGCAGGAACTGAAGCAGAGGTCATGGAGGGTGCTGTTTACTGACTTTGCTCAGCCTGCTTTCTAAATGAACTCAGGACCACCAACCCAGGGGTAGCACCACCCACAATGGCTTCGGTCTTCCCTATCGATCACTAATTAAGAAAATGCTCTACAGGTGTGCCTGAAGCTTGACCTTCTGGAGTAATTTTCTTGAGAGTTGATTTTAGGTTTTGTCAGGCTGACATAAAACTACCAGTACTTACGCTGATATTAACATCTTTTATTTACTATTCTTATTTTGATTAAAAATTCTTATATAATGTTTTGAAAATGTTTCTTCCCCTCTTCCAACTTCTCCCAGATTCCCCCCTCCCTACCCACCCAACTTTGTTTTTTTTTTTCTGTATCAGAAACCCACAAAACACAAAAACAAAAATCACAGCAAACAAGTAAAAGACAAATAAGGCAAAACAACAACTGCAACAGCAGCAAGAACAAAAATCATAGCATTTGTTTTGTGTTGGTCAGCTATTCCTGGACACAGGGCTTACCCTGGCGTGTGGTTGATATACAGTGACACTCCACTGGAGAACACAGATTTTCCCTTTGCCGTGGAATACCAATTGCAAACAGCTTCTCCACCAGGGGTGAGACTCTGTGTCCATTTCTGCCTCACAGTGCTGGGACCCCATCTGGCTCTGGGATGTTAATATTGATTTTCAATATGCCAGCATCATCTTGGAAACAAGCTGCCTGTCACACCTGTGGTTTATCTAGATTATGTTAGTCGCTGGCTATGCTTGTTAAGTTAATTAATGTGAGAAGACAGGCATTCTCATTCTTTGTGACTGCAGATGCAACTTGAACAAACTCCTGCTTCCACACAATGATGAGCTTTATCCAAAAACGGTGAGCCAAAATAATTCCTTTCTCCAGTTACTTTTGTAAGTTCCTGAATGCTCTTCCATTTAGATCAAGGTAACTTATAAAAAGGACTTTATTTAGCTCACAGTTTTAGAGGCTAAAAGTTCAAGAACACAAACTCAGCTCTGATAAAGGACTCATGGCAGCTAACACTACAGTGGGATGGATCAGGAATACAGACAGTGATTCAGGAGTCCGGCTCTCTAAAAGCTTATTTTTATTTTAAAATTTATTGTTTTTATTTTATGAGTGGATTGCCTGCATGTGTATCTGTGTGCCACATTCATACCTGGTACCTGTGGAGGCCAGAGGACAGTATCAGATTCCCAAGAACTGGAATTATAGAGAGTTGTATGAGTTACAGGCAGCTGCAATGTGGGTGCTGGAAACCAAATCTGGGTCCTCTGAAAGAGCACTAAACCATGTCTCCAACCCAAAGGCTAACTCTTGTAATAACAACCTCTTGCAAGAAATATCCAGGATCCTATGGAAATTCTATCAATTATTCATAAGAGGGCAGTGCTTCCAAAGATTTCCCAGTATTTCCATTTGACTCATCCTCTTGAAAGTGTTCTCCACATCACACTGAGGATCAAATTTCCTGAATACAACGCAGATGTGGATTCCTGTCTTCCATATCCACCTTCTATCTAAAAGGAACTGTTTATGGGACTGGAGAGATAGCACAAAGCTTGTAGCGCCAGCACTATGATCTGTTCCACGAAGAGGGGGAAGGCCTAGAGATGGAAATAAGAGACAAAACAGCAGGCCATTCGTTCAACGGCAATGTCGGAATGCCAAGTTCCGAATGCTGTTTATTGAGGAGATGGGATGGGCTTATACAGGGACGCACAACACAGTGGAAAACAACAGAGTTTTCAGGCTTAGTTCCTCCCAACCAGATGTGTGTTAGCAAAACAGTAAGAGTACCAATAACAACTCCCACTCTGGGGGTGGGGGAGCAAGAAACCAGGAAGAGTACCAATAACAGCTCTGGGGCAAGATGTTCCAGCCAACAACTTCAGGCTTACTCAAGGGGCCTCAGTGCAGGGTAGGGGGGTTGTCCAGCAGGGCCCTATAGTTAAGAGAGTGTAAATTCTTCCAGAGGAGTCAGGTTCAGTTCCTAGTACCCACAGCAGGTGAATTACAACTACCTATAACTTCAGTTCCAGGGCCTTTTGACACCTCGGGCCTTGTAGTGCACTGGCACTGACATGCACTGATCCACACGTGTACACATACTTACTCACAATAAAATAAAAATTAGTAATCCCAACAAACCACAAAAGAAAGTGCTCTGAAAATGAGAAAGGAACTGCTGAGAATGGAAAAATGCACTTCTCAGGCCTAAGTCACAGCAAACATTCCTTTGGTCTAAGAGGGTATCTCATTTCTTCTTGATATGGCTGCTGCTAATGGACTTGACCATTTAAAAGTAAGGGCAGCTCCAGCTTCCCTAGTACTACCCCATGAACACAGGGCCTTGCAAACAATAGGTCCTCAACAAATCAGCTAGTAAGCAGGGTCCCTTATTTATGTGTATTGTGATTTTATTAAAAAAGAACTTGCAAATCAAAGACATCACACCAAAATTAACCACATCCAAAGTCTATACATCTCAATGAGGGTCTCTACAATTCTGAAGCTATGGATCTTTACACTGGGTAACTTATTAGGATAATTTCTTATACAACTTCAAAAACGCATGCCCATTTAGATCTACACATGTAACTTAATTTTACAGAGGAACAGATTTTGTTAAAGGGAAAAATAAAAATTATCAATTTCTTTCATTTTTCTCCACTTATTGACATTGGATGCATTACTCAGTTCTTTCACATTTCAAATTAAATTCCTATTCCAATGTTATTATAGACCATAAAATAAGATGGAAAGTTTTGTTATATAAAATAGCAAAAGATGTCTAGGTGTGGTGGTACAGATCCTTAATCCTGGCACTTAGCAGGATGAGGCAGGTAGACATCTATGAATTCAAAGCCAGCTTGATCTACATAGAGAATTACAGGACAGCTAGGGCTACATAGCATGACCCTGCTGCTGGAAGCAATAAATGTGTTATTAATGCCATTTATAGGCAGATTCTGAAGCCTATTAAATCCTTCAATTAAGAGAAACAAAATTTGAAAAATACTAAAAAAAAAAAAGTTTCAAGTTACCCTTATAAAACAGGAAACATGTTACTTACTTACTCTCACTAGCCCTCTTTACTTCTTAGAACAATGACTGTCAGCTTCAAACAGTGAAGACCCATCTGAGACTTCATTCAGAAAGCTTCTGAATGTGACATTAGAACGTTACTGGCCAGTATGCCATTTGTGGTGGCAATTCCAAACAAAATTCCCTGCTCTCTCAAAGCCTCAAGATCCAGGGATTGGAAAGATCTGGAAACACTTAGTATATCCTGCTCATCTCAGCCAAAAACGCTATGACATCCTCACTTCTGGTTTCAGCATGGGCCCTTGGACCCCATAAGAACTCATAGTGCGGAGGATCACTGTCAGGCACTGGGTTGTATTCCAGATACCCTTCCTGTACAAAATTTTCAATGAACAGGTTCTTGGCATTCCCAGCTACATAGTGATTTTCCATGGGACTTATTCCCATCATATTTAGTGCTCGCCAGATCACATTCTCACTGACACGGTTGCCATTCATGCAAATGACACCTAAGGCAATTATTAGGAGGCCTGTTTTGGGCATACCTTGGACATTAGTAAGCATCCCATCATAAGTGATCCCCAGGGCAATGACAAGGGCGTAGGTGTGGACAACAGGGTCCACTTCTATTACATTAATGCCAAAGACCAGCTTCAAACCCTCAGAGGCCTCATTAAAGATCCTATTGTAGTACTGCTCATCATCTTCTATAATCTTTCCTATAATTTCTGTCTTGTTGGTCAGCTCCTTCAATCTGTACTTAAGGAGAAGGAACTGTACCAAATCAGCCACCTTTGCACTTAGTGAATGATACAATACAATGCGGCCTTCCCCCTCCCCTCTTTGGTTGCCAGAGGCCTCATCAGATGGGGATATTGGAATTGAGGCCATAACAGTGGGAGGAGATAAGGCACGCTGAGGACTCTGGTGAAATTTTGGTATCCCACCAGCAGGCATCTTCCTGGGGAGGTCTGGGCTAGTGGAAGAAGAGGAGTTGTTATTATTGGACTCTTCTCCCTCAGCCACAGATAGATCAGAATGCATCTGTTCCTGTTCTTTACTTTGGGCCTGAGATTCTCCCTGATAGTTGCAATACTGCCTCTTCTGACCATGACACATGATGGCGTTCTTGAAGCTAGCAGTCAGGAGGATGGACAATACAGCAATACGGTCCCAGACCTGGGGCAAAAGAGAACAGTGTGAGAATACTTTGCTGATAGCTACACCCCTGAAACCTTTCACAATGGCCTGTTGCAGTTTTTCTACTGTATGGACATAGGAGAACCTGTCTTTCTGTCAGTACTATTATGACATTGGAGGAAGTTATAAGAAGTGTCTGCAGAGCACAGTCAGGTTATAGAACTTGATACTCCTGAGGAGCAATAAAATGTGGAGTCCTTGTGCTCTGGGGTGGATGAGACCCTTGGTAACTCACTTTCACTCTGGACTATGCTTGGGCTTCCCCTGTGTCTGACCTGAGGACACTGCCCCAGACAAAGCCCTTCATTTCTGGCCCTTGGAACTCCTGTAAGAGATGCAGAGGCATTCCAGAGCTACACAGTTTGAGAAGATTAGGTGCCTGGCCCCGATAGCTGTCTCATATGGTACACTCTGCACTCACTCTTTGCACTGTCAGGGTTTGGACCCCACCCCTCTTCTGGCCTAAGGCCAAATTCTTGCAATGAAAGTCCACAGCTCTGGGATGGCACAAGACAGTGAGGTAGCCTCACATCCAGTTAAACTCTCCTGGGGTGAGAGGAAGAGGTAACCCACTCCAATAGGGTCTAAGTGTGTCAGGAAGCAGTGCCTGTTTCATACTTACCTTGATAAGTTGCAAGGACTGAATTGCTCCCCCCTAATGAGCTGAACCCTCCTTCTTTAATGTAAAGGCATATTTCTATGAGGAAGAAGAAAAAGAAGTGAGGAGAAGAAATCCACCCAGGTTTTCCCTCTGCCAACAGAAGCACTAGGTCCCATGTGTTTGGGTGATGGGATTATCTCATTTCTTACCTTGAATTCTGACACAACTGGAATCTTTTCTCTGATGACCCGAGTCAAGGTCGTCTTGGTAGGGCCTTCAGCTCTCTGAGATCAATGACCTAGAAACAAACAGAGGGCTTAGACTGGCGTCCCTGTCCAGGACTGTAGGGGTGGTAAGGTTTACAGTGTAGACTTCTTTGGGGACCCTGTCTGTGCCATAGACTGGAGTTACCTTTAGTCAGCCCTTGCTGTCCTAGACTCTTGCCACGTCCTTTGACACGTGTGTCTAGCTGAGGGATCACTCACTGACGTTAAATTCCTTACTTCCCTTCAAATCCTGAAAACCCTCAGAAGCAAACACATTCCATATCCTTTCAGTCCTGCATGGGATCTTCAGGGTTGCCTACCTGATCTGGACTCATCTCTATTGATATGGGCTTCCGTAAGTCCACCAGAAGTTTATTCATATGATGTGTACTTTCTCACATCTCCCCTTATAGCAGATCACATCTCCCCAGAGATTCTTCAGAACAGGCCTCACTTTTCCCTGACACCCTATAGGCTAAAGTGAGAGGCCCCCTCTGTTGTCCTCCATGTCCTATGCTCAGTCTCCATAAGACCTGGGTCTTTCCCTCTGCTGAGGCAGTGTTCTTTGTAGTAAAACCCCCCAAACCCTCTGAGACCTGAATGCAGAATTCAGAAACTTGTTTAGTAGTGCCTATCTGGGCTCAGGGAAAGGGTATAGCTGGCCCTGCCCCATGGTACTTTCAGTCCTTTCTAAATAATCACCTTACTTCCATCAGGGCATGCTACCCTTCCTCTGGTGACCCAAAGCCCTACTTCTACCTACAAACCCTCTCCCTTCTCAAAGATGTGGAAAACAAGAATTACATTACTGGTCACCTTCATCAGGGCCTCTCTGTGCTGACCACATGATTAAGCTTTTTGTATTAGAATTCTCTCCCTCATAATCTGGACTTTTTCCCTCTGACCATGACATTTCATTCTTTTCTGATACCCAAGACAAAAGCTTGGGAACTCCACATCTGGCAATAGATCCTGAGCCTCACAGAATTAACAGCAAGGACATAATGGGACACTTCCTCACAACAGTCTTCCCTATGACTCCTAGACTATTTTGGTCCCCAACATATGGTGATTTCAGTTTGCTGCCCCCAGACCAAGACTATGACTCCACAGAGTCCTGAGACAGAAGGAGAAGGTTGAAAAAGGGAGCTGGGAGTCCAAGTGTCTACCCTGAAAAGCCTTCTTCCTTATGGTGCAGGGCTGGCAACAGGGTCAAGGATGAAAACTTCCCTAGAGGTTACTTGGAGGTTACCTGTATTTGGATTGGAGCTTCCTGAGTCTGTGCTTGGGATCTTACTGTGATCCCCCCACCACCACAAAGCTATGCAGATCTCAGAAAGGGACTGGAAGTGCCAAAATCTACTGAGGTGGAGAAGTAATAGTACAGGGCTGAAAACAGAAGGAGGGTCAGATAATTCTTGGGGAGAGTATCTCCCTCATGGGAAAACTTCTAAATGAATCTCCAGGGTCTCACCATATTCCCTAACAGAGCCTTTTCAGCTCAGTGGACCTCAGAACATGGCCAAGATCTTACCATATCCTTTTACAGAGCCTGGCTGTCAAAAATGTTCCCTAAACTAAGTTTAATTGCAGTACTCAGGAGGCCCACCTGATCTACACATAGAATTTCAGGATAGTTTTGGCTACATAGTGGGTACAATCTCAAAACAAAAGGAAATAAACCAAAAAAAAAGACTGTCTCAAAAACTCAAAACAATAAAAAAGGATAGTGTCTGATTGTACTTTCATATACATACATATGCATAAATAAAAATGGAAAAGAGACAGAGAGAGCATTTTCTGAGGTCCAGGATATGAGAGGAGACATGTTAAGATTGTGGAACTGACAAAGATCCAGACATGACAGGGACACACCCCACTTCATATAATATAATAATAATCTCTCTCTCTCTTTCTCTCTCTCTTTTCCATTTTGTTGTTGTTGTTTTTGTTTTGGATTTTTAAGACAGGGTTTGTCTGTGTAGCCCTGGCTGTCCTGCAATTTGCTTCTTTCTTTCTTTTTTTATTTTTATTTATTTATTTTTTATTTTACATATAGATCTAAGTTCCCTTTCCCTCCCTTCTTCCCTCCTTCCCTCCCTCCTCACATGCACCCTGACCACCCTCCCCTCCCAACCCCCACTACACATGTAGGGTGATGCCATCCAGGTGGGGTCATGTAGATCTGACAGGTCATGTGAAGTAAGGACTAGGGTTTCTCTCCTGTTCTAGGTTAAGGCAGTTATCCCTCCATGGAGGATGTGTTCACAAGGTCCTTTTGTGCACCAGGGATACATCCTGGTTCCACTGTCTGAGGTCCCTTAGACTGCTCAGTCCTTCTGGCTGAGATCCATATTCAGGGGAGCCTGAGTCAGTCACATGCCAGATTCCCAGCTATCAGTCTGGGGGCCTGTTAGCTCCTCCTTGTTCAGGTCAGCTGTCTCTATGTGTTTCTGCAGCCTGGTCTTGTCCTCTCTCTCTCTGCATCTGGATTCTAGTTCGACTCAGTGTGGGTGTCTGCTTCTGTTTCCATCAGGTACTAGATGAGGGCTCCATGATGGTGGATAAGTTAGACATCAATCTCATTATCAGGGAAGGGCATTTATGGTAGCCTTTCCACTGTTGCTCAAATTGTTAGTTGGAGCCAGTCTTGTAGGTCTCTGGACATTTCTCTAGAGTCAGTTTTCTCTTCAAACCTATAATGTCTCCCTCTATTACGATCTCTCTCTCTCCCTCTCTCTCCATCTCTTCTGTGTTCTATTCCTTCCAGACTCAATCTTCCTAGTCCCACGGTACACCAGGTTTCTTAACTGGGATGGCACACATCTTTAATCCCAGCACTCAGGAGGCAGAGGCAGGAGGATTTCTGTGAATTTGAGGCCAGCGTGCTCTACAGAGCCAGTTCCAGGACAGCCAGGAGGTTTACACAACTCTATACCCCCCAAAAAGTGGGGTGTGATAGTGGTATCACATACCTGTAATCTCAACATTAAGTAGGCTGCGGCAGATGATACTACAAAGCTAATTTAGTCGACACAGCAAGTTTTGGGGCAGTCTGGGCTATCTAGAGAGTATCCTGTGCTAAAACCAAACCAAACAAAACCTAACCACTAACACTGCAAACATACACATACTACATAAACAAAAAATAAACCAACCAACCTTCCAAACAAACAAACAAACAAAAAAAACCCGAAAAAGTTCAAAACTGCTCTAGTAGTCTACTGAGGAGGAAGGGACTGGGGTGGGCTTTCTGGATTATTGTAGGAGGCCCGCTGTTGGAGGCGTTGCAGTCTATGTCAGAATTTGAAGTTTTTCCCTCAGAGAGCATTGGTGTTTTCCCGCGACCAACGTCAAGGTTCTGAATCCCACAGTCCACTGAGGTAAGTCGGGTGCCAGACTGACTGAAAGGGTCAAGTTGCATTAAATGATGACTGTCTAGGGTTGCGCTTCCGTACATAGTCCACCCTCAGGGTTTCAACCCCTCACAGAACCGGCACCTTTTGCATTCAAAATGGCTCCCAACCCGGGCATGTTCTGTCACGTATTTTACTTATGGCCATGCCGAGGTTGAAATAGTAGTGCCAAGTTTGAGGCCATTATGGGCTACACAGTAAGGGTTTATCTCAAACAATGCAACCAACCAAGCAAAACACAGCCATAAAAGCTCTTACCTTACCACTTTGCCACCAAAGGTTGGAAGAAGGTTAATTCCTGCCCCGGGGTTCCAGGGTCAGTTTCAGGGACACAATAACAGTACTCGGCATGGCATCATTGTCATTGAAATATTATGGAGTTTGGGGCTCCCTCACTCCATGCCCAAATTCTTCCCCACTCACCTCACAGCTCCTCCGTCATCTCCAGCCTCATGCAACCTCACAACTGGGCTTAAACTCCCAGAATCCTCCAAGGCAGAAGAAGGTGAGTGCATAGCGCCACACTCTAGCATGTGGTCAGTTTAGGGTACAGCACAAAAAGCCCGGGTGCAGCTGGGTTATTTAGAGACTTGTATGAGGGCTGCGATTTTCTCACCTTCTCATTGTGTTTTCTCACAGATCTTCATTCCATTTCTTGGTGGACCCCAGAAAAATGCTTGAGGCATGTGGTGGTGGAAGCAGGAAGCTCATTACTGTTGTTTTATGTATGAGTAGTTCCACTTTGATTCCAGACTATTCACAGAGGAGCTCGGTATTATTTGGAGTTCTTCTAACTAGAGAGAGGCTTAAAAAATTCCTCTTTCTTACAATTCACCACGACTACAGTTTCCTCTCCCTTCACTCCTCCCAGTCCCCACAACCTCCCCTCTCTTGCTGATGTACTCTATGTCTTTTCAGAAAAGAACATGCCTCCTAGAGTGGGGCTTTTCTAGTGCACCTTAAACTATCACCTTGGCTTCAAAATGCTCAGGTTCTCTCTGCTCTACAGGTCTGAAATGATGACCTCAGAATAAAGTTCTCACCCAAAATGCTCCCAGATAAAATTTAGTGGATGTTATATTCCATAACTTACAGTAAGGGAAGAACCAGACACTAGAGGCCCATAGCCTTCACCAGTATGCTAGATATTGCCCCAGTTCCATCCCTGTCTGTAAGTGCACTGAAGCATTCGCAGAAGGCAGGACACACCTGCCTGGTCACCCTACCTGTGAGCCTCCTCAGGCGTTACAACAGAGATCGAACTGTGCTTCCTCTGCTCTGAGTTTCACAGTTCTTTCAATCTTCTTCTTCAGTCCTGACAATACCTAAGCCATTTCTTTAAAACATTTTTTAAAGTTAAAATGTAGTTCTATAATTTTCTCCATTTCTCTCCTCCCTCCAAATCCCTCCTGTGTAATCTCTGCTGCTGCTTCTCAAATTCATGGCTTCCTTTTCTTTGTTATTAACACCCCCCACACACCTCTAAATATATAACTCTAACCTGCTCCATCCATTTAGTACAACTGGCTTGTATACTTTTACAGGGCTATCCTTTGGTATTGGATAACCAATTCAGGGGCTTATCTTTGGATATGACTACTTTCTTCTTCTCTCAACATTCCTTAATTACCTGTAGATCTTTGCCTAGGGATAGGAGCCCATGAACTTTCCTTTTTTTAATTTTTTTTAATTTTAATATTGTTGGGAATCTCTGCTCTGGTCTCACTCCCCATTCCAAACCCCACCCAGATGTTTAGCTGGGAACTCTACTTTGGCCCCACCCCATTTTCAGAAAACCAAGTGATATCTCCTTTCCCATGAGATGCTCAGGACCATGTCTACAGGGTATTTAAGACCAGGTCCCTGGGCCTGCCACGTGATTTCTCTTCCTTCCTTTTCTGAAAGTCATCTGGGAGGGAGTGTTTTGCTTGTAACCCTGGATAAGGGAGCTCAAACCAACATAT